TTTCACTAGAATCTTCGTAATAAAATCCTTACCCTGAACAAGATGGGGGAAGAGAACTGCAAATAAGAAAGATAAGTCATGTTCTTTATTTAGAAAGGCACAGCAATCAGACAAGACAATTGCTGCTCATGTTGAGGAGATGGAGGAGACAAACAGAGAGACAGACAGACATGATTGAGGCCTTGTTACCTACAATGTCCTGTTAAGAACTATCTTCAGACAAAACACTTTCAGCAGACAGGATCCTGATCAGAGACAAAAGTATTTGAAACTTTTTCCAGCAATGCTGAAAGGACAGAGATGTGAAAACTATAAAATAAAAACAGTTACAAAAATACAGAGCTAGGAACCTCAGCTTAGGAACGAACGGAGAATGCAAAAATCAAACATCTTAGTGCCAACAGAACTTTCCCTGTTATGAACTTCTGCTTTACGAACCAGCCTCCAGTCTTATTTGACAGCTCACAGGGCTATCACTACAAGTTCTGTCATTTCTATATAAATACTAGCCTGCACAGAGAAGTATGACTGGGAAAATTCTAATTTCAACAATTTTCCAATGAGATATATACCTAGGGTGGGATAGAGAGAATGTTCATGGCAACCAGAATGTTTTATTATGAGATATGTTGTTTTCCATTAATGTCCTCCAAAGAGGGGAAAGTAAAATATTTCAAATAGAAATGATGAAGATAAATCTGGATTTAAATGGGCATAAGGGGCCTCCTCTTCCAGCAATACCATATGACCCAAACATCTTGGAGTCCTATGATGTATCCACAGACATGCGCCTTTGCAGACCTCGGAGCCATTCAATCTGGAGCTTAGTCCACCCCTGGTTCAAGTTACATAATTCAGACGTGGACCTATGTTAGTTGGAGGTGGTAAGTTTAACAGAAGTCTTAAGTTTGGGAATAAAGTTTTCACTCCCCCAGAGAGTTTCCTGGGGACTGAAATTTTGACTGTGCTTTGCTGAATATCTAATTTTCTAAAGCAGTGTCACTCTGACGTTCCCCTCCATGTTATAAATGCTGTACAGAAAGTATAGAGAAGTGTAATTTCTTACCTATTGGAAGAATATTTAGGCTTTGTAACTAGTACCATCTGAATTTAATACCTTATTTGCTTCTTGTTTAGAGAACACAAACAGTGTAGGATGTTTGGCTACTGTTAGCTTCTCCCATTTTCCTGCTTAAATTAGCACATAAAAACAGTAAAAGCCTAATCCTTGACTTGAGTTCTACACAAGAAGACATCTCCAAAGGTCTTGGGGGTATGTAACTGCTGAAAATCATTCATTCAATGGTTGATTCAAACCCTATAAAGTCAAAGACTCACTGATTTCAATTATATTCATTTAAGACTAAGGCCTAGCTCCACAGCTCACTAAGCTGAAACTCAACGCCAAGGCTAACGACACAATTACTAGCTGTCTCTAGAAAAAAGCCAATGACTAAACCGACATAGAAACTTAACTACTTTATTCCCTACTAGAGAATGGAAGAATTCTGTGGAAACACGCACACAGGTTTCTGTATCTAGCTTTGGCAATTTCACCATTTTACTAACATTTTAAAGTACATTCATGAGAACAGATTATTCAGTGCTTGATAACAAAACTTGAAAACTATTGCAAAATTTTCTGCTAATGTAAAGAAATCAGCAGCACACAAAACAGACCAGTCTAACACACAGAAGGCAGTATAAATAGAAAGATATGGATCAACTGTAGTCAATAATGTAAGGGAACAAGGAAATAATTCTTGATAACTCTCTGCCTGAGTCATGTCCAAGTGTCATTTACTGTGAATAGCAATTTCACCTCTTCTTCTCCAAACTAAAGTCAAATCAGCTCAATCAACAAAAATTATCCTGGGATAACATAGAAATCAGATATGTGCAGTAAATCAATAGCACATTACATCTATTGCTCATTATTCGCAGTAGCTTTTTACACTTCCAGATAAAACGGAGCTTGACTGTAGGGTACCACAGCCACACCATAACTGTGCAACGGGCTTTGGTGTCATTTGGTATTAGTGCATTTAGTAAATTTAAGAATAGCTGAAACCTGATTTGCCAGTTTCACATCAAACCACAAGAAACCACAGCTGAAAGAGGAGCTGTTATCAATAAATTAAATTATGTATGTCTCTGTGAGAAATTAGAGTATGGGTACATACACAATTGCTTCCCGACCCAGGTCTTGAAACTACCTCCAGGATCCCAGAATTAGAATTGTGTACTTTAGTATTCAGCTCCATTGTACACCAATATTAATGTGGTTTGAATGGCAAATTACAGTTGTGAGATAATTTCGGAAACTGCTAACCTCCTGCTAGCGGCCATTTTCCAGGTGAAAGCAAAACCTAGCTGAACAAGTTATTTCTCACTATATCCCTCAGGAGCAGTAAGCTCCAGACTTCACTTGAGAGCACTGCTGTCACCATGAGGGCAGTCAGCTGAGTGAGCCCTTCCTCCATCTCACCAGATGTGCAGAATTACATCTTGAT